CATAACCAAAAAAAAAAAAAAGAGACAGAATATGGCTGATGGTTCGTGGAAATTTGAAAAAGCAAATCTATAAAAACTTAAAACATATAAGCAAATAATATAAAAAATAGAAATAAAAATAATAATATAAATTGAAAAAAATAAAAAAATTAAAATTGAGTGAGGCATGTGGGATATTTTTTGTTGTTCTTTAGTTGTATTAATTATTCAATAAAAAATTATTGAAGGGATCGGAGAATATACTAAAAATTTTATATAGTATAAAAAATTTTTAAAAATTTAGAAGGCCAATTACGAGGCTCTACCCCTGGCTTTCACTCTTACTATTGAGAGCTGCAGCACTTAAAAGTATTTTTTTCAAAAAGAAGGATCTTACAAGATTTTAGAAGGTAGGGTTTTTGAACATTATTTAAGTGGCCTTTTTCAAAGGTTTTTGGAAGAGGTAGCAAGCAATTCCTCTGGAGAAAAAATGCCAAAAACAAATTAAGAAAGCAAAAGAATTTGAGAGAATCAAGATCACAAGGTTTCAATTATTAGTTTTCTCTCTACTTTTATGTTTTTCTTTTTTTTTTTTACTTGGATTTAAAGACTAATTTTCTTTGGATAAAGTTTTTATTAGATATTATGAACTAAACTATTTTTCTAAGATTCTAGTTGATTTCAACATGTAATGTGAATATAAGTTTCTCTGTTATTTATTATGAATGGGTCTAGTTTTTTTTATTCAAATATGTTTTTAATGCTTTTGATTGTTTGACAAATAATTAACTGATTTGTGAATCTAATTGAAACTCGGTAGATAGATTTTACATTAGATTAAGATTTGAATAGTGTATGTTTCATTTAGGTAATCTGATTCGCTATTCGGGTAGACATATACCAATTACCATGCATAGCCAAATTAGAATACTAGCTTAATGGACCTTATTTTATTGATTCTTACAGATATATAATGACCTAATTAAGTTAAGTATTTGTGCAAGTATCTCGGATTTGGATTATAGGTTAATAAAACCACCCATGAATGTAAATAATAAGAGAAGCTGATATCTGATGAATTGTGAATAAACCCATAATCTTAGATTTTAATCTGTTGCCTTTTTCTAGTGAATTTTTAATTTTTGTTAATTTGTTTAGTTTTGATTGAATTTAGTTTTAATTAATTGTATACAAAATCGAATTACTTGAATAAGATTAATTTATCATAATTTTAATATTTAGTAAAGATTTAAGAACAAATCTTTATGGGATATGATTCTGGACTTACTATCTATATTATTTATTCGATACGTATATTTATGTGTACAAAATGGATAATAAGCAGCAGCATCTAGTTCTTAGTTGAGGGAACAAATGTTGGTTCTGAATTCTAAGGAGCTCTCCAAAAGATGTAGCACGAATACCAGCGCCTGCCTTGAATCACACCTCCTCTTCCCTAATTTTCACGCATGTTGAATTAGATTAGCGGTGAAGGATTTCACTTTTTGGTTTCAAAATATGTGCCGTTGAGCGGCAGATTCCACTCATTCACCAACTTGCTTTATGGAGTTTACGTCATTTTATTGAACGGTAATGTAGACTAAGGAATATATAGCTGTCAAAGGAAAGGGAATAAGAATTGGTCCCTTCTTGGGTTCCATCAGCCTTTTTCATTTTTTTTTTTTGTTTTCTTTATGTTCCCTCCTTGTTCATACCTTGAAGAATGCTGTGAGTCATGCTAAGCTAACAATAAGAGAAGACCTCATAGAAACGATGTGCATAGTAGAGTAAGCCAGCAAGGAATTAAGTCAACTTAGCTTTAATCAAATCCGCATGTGAATTTGACTTAATTCATTTCCTTTTTCCTGTTAGGAAGCTATAAATACGTGTCTTAGCAAGTCTTCTTAGCAAATCACGTTTCTGCTGGGAAAGATCAACATAGAGTTGCCTGACAATGGAAAACCATATTAAGGAAAGCAGGTATTGACCTCTGATTCACTGTTTTCGTTCTTATTGAAGAACCCTTTTTTCACGTGGCTACTGTAGTATATTTGCACTATGAACAAAGTAGATGGACTTAACTAGTAGAAACGCTTAGATGTTCCCTTGCTTCCTTACTTTTATATGTAGCAAGAAGAAACTAGTTAGAATCTCATATTATCAGTGGGAATTAGATTCTTTCACATTTTGTGTTTTGACAACTAGAATCTTGGTAGATCAAACTTTAAGCAAATAGCTAAACCAGGTAGAATTCAGGAAATGCACTGAAAATGTATTCTGGACAAAGTAATGTCCCAAAGATTACAATAAAATATCATAACAAGGGAGGACATGTTTTAATTATCATTCATTACAATCCTGTTGCATAGCTTATGGTGCTGCTCAATAGCATTTTTCTACACTTTAGTTGAGTGGATAGTATGTTTCTTTGTTAATATATGCAGCAAAAATAATGGAACCGTTTTTCTCTGCTATTTTTTAAGAAAGCAAAACTGGTTCCAGAGGCAGTTTTCAGGTCGAAACAGTCAAAGTAATCATCCCAAAGAAGGTGCACATGAAGCTGCAGTTGCAGCAGCTGCATTTGCGATTCAGTCACTTCAAGAAGCGAAAGCCACCAAGCTCAAGAGTGAGAGCAGAAAAGACAGCGGCAGAAATGCCATGCTTCATTCTAATGGAACGACCAGCCAACTCCCATACAAGAAAACCAAAATTGCAGGTAACTTTTCCAACGATTGATATGATTTTCTGATGATTTTTCTTTTCAAGAAACTAATGAAGAGTATGTACTAGTTGACAATTCCAAGAAAAAGCCAATGAAACAAAAAACTAAGCAATTCGAAGGAGTTTATTCAGCTGCCAAGCCAAGCTCTAAATCTGCTGTAATACCAATAGCACCAGGAGAAAATGCTGAATGGTAAGTATTTATTTTTCAGGCATATCTTCTTCTGTTTTTCTTCTTTTTGAGAGTTTCCAAATCATACCAATTAGCAGCTGGTATATTTATTACGCAGGCTCTCCAAAATGATGCAAAACACATTTTTTTTATGCTCCAACATGCCCAAAATCCTTTTTAACATATAAAAGCTGGAACTAGTTTTTGACTCTTTTCCTAACCTTCATGATCTCAGGTATGACAAGCTGAAATCAGTTGTTGCTTGCGGAAGTGACAAGATGCTGAAAGCCAAGGATTAAACAAAAAGAAGAATGGTTTTGATTTAATTTTTGTTGTTAATATTATATATATTTCGTGAATGCCTATGCTACAACACTACCACTATTGATTGTTGACACTGCAGAACAAACTGGAGATGCAAAGGGCAACTATTGTGCAACATTACTAAAAACAGGATAGGAAGATTTCATCTGGTTGCTGGCAGGGCAAGAAAATCTGAAGTTATAGAGAAGATCGAAAGATTAGATAATGAAATAAATATGTATTGGAATATATATATATATGTATGTATATGTAATTTGGTTTGGTCATATGTAGCATCAAAGCAAAGGCATTAGCAATAATTATGACGCTATGTGTCCCTTTTCTTCTTGAATCTTTAAATGATATTTTGCTTCAGGCTGGATACAGGATTTTTTACTGAACAAGTCTTTACTTCCTACCACACAATGAAGGCTGCTGGCTACTGGTGAAAAAGATAATATTTGAAACATTGGTATTCATTATAATTTTCTTTTCAATTTTTGAATTTAATAGAATGAATGACTCAGTTTTTGATCTTGGGAAAAGGAAAATTTGATTTGATTTTGAATTTCTCAAAGGAAGCTATGGATTTCCTTGTTTTAAATGAAATGGTATTATTATCTGACCATACCATTGTCAATGCTTCTGGCAGAGTTGTTATGTGAGTGACACAGAACTGTCTTCGATTAGTACTATATCAGTCTTTCACATTACAGCGGTTTGTACCTTGATTCCAGTCCAACCTGATAATAACAATGCATTCAATAGATAAGTCCCGTTGGTTCTAGTAAGAAGGCCTGTGAGGCTATGACTTTTCAGACTGTACTGTCATCTTGTTTAAGTTTAATTATTGTTGTGGAGATCAATCATAACACTTATGAAAAAGACATTACGTTTATTTCCCATCTGCACATATAAGAACAGAGCTGATACCTTTCCGAAGTTGCAGTTATATCTCTGTGAATAGGGGAAAGAGAGAAACAAAGTCTACAATTGAAGTTTGGCAGCTCAGTGTAAGAAAAGGACAAAAAAAAAAGTGCAACAAATGGCATTGCACATCTTTCATCAGAATTGCAGAGTAACTAATTGATACTACTGCCATTCTCTAACAGAAGCGACCAGACATAAAATGCTTTAGCAGCCAAAGGCGACCTGTGAAATGATATCATTAACCAATTTTATGGTCTCAGCTTGGAACTTTGGGGCAAAAATGATGTTGTGTACATTCACATCAGAATGAAAGCAGAAGGCAACGCCGACAGACTTTAGTAGAGAAAGCCTCGTGTTGTGTCCTTGATTACCATATACTTTGCTGGTTCCTAATTCAACTGCTTGTACAATTAATTCCACATTTTATGTCAAATGATTTCAGTGACGGTCTACCTCACCTCTGGCATTCCTTTTCTAGCATTAAATTCTTTATGTTCTCTCTCTCAAACCCACATCACAAGCTGCCTCCTCTCTGTCCCACCTTTCTTTTCTTCCCCTTAAATTCTAAAAAGCAAGTTTACAGTTTAATCATGGCTGAAGTCCCAGAAAAAGTACATATTTGAGCAAATTCAAGGTGGCGCTTCCAGCTGAAATACCTCCCTTTCGTCCTTATAGCAGTTCATTTACAGGAATATTTATCCGATGATCAAACAACAAACAGAAAGAGAATTTTATAGTTTTGTATTCATCAATGTTTCGATCTATAAATTAAGTGACCTATGTAGATGAGGTGTCATTGGAGCATGTTTACTTAGGGCAATGCCAACATCCATTTCAACGAAAATCCTACAACATGAGTTGCTGACAAATGCTGCTCCTGATCTAATCAATATGAAACTTTTGTGCATGTGGTTTGCATCTCCAAATCAAGATAAAAATACTAAATTCTGTTTACACTGCGGCAATGGCTTTGTCTAAATGACATCTTCCCATTTAGAAACTACACAAATGTATTGAGTTTGTCCCTAAGAATAAAAAAAAACTTGGTGAAAAACAAAGGGGAGCGTTGAGATTCCTTGTCATATCTAATGCAGGAAAATGATTGCTGATGACACGTGGTGGCCATCAAGGACGACAGCTGATGGCTGTATTCACGTGTCATTGCTTCCTACAATCCAATGTCTGGTTGAGATCTAAGCAAACACTGGAAGGTTGGTGAGTTTGGTTTCATGGGTGTTTTGAGAGTACAATGTCACATCTAAATGATTGGCAGCTCTGGTCCATTCAGGGGCATTTTAGTCTGTTTCCACTCCAAGGTAGATTGTGTGTCGATACTCTGATATCTAGCAAAACTGCTAGCTGTCAAGGATGTATGTGCTGCTACATATATATTGACAAACTTGAACATATTTTCCCTCATTCTAATAATGGTGATTCATATATTTACAAACTTTTATTTGGCTAATTGTTACATGTGATGAAAGGGGCAAAACCCAATTCAGATTGTGATGATTTGGTTAAGGTTATGCACAGAGAAAAAGGAATATGCCAGTGGCAAGATTGACAAGGATTGTGTAGGGGTTGAAAGAAAATGTTGCCGTCAACCAGCCAAGGACATTTAATTTATTGAGAGGATAAAATTTTTTGACTTGCTTGCTTCCCCGAAAGACCTTTGACAATGAGTGGAAAGTTGTGTGAACCAGTATTTAATTTTTGTAATGAATATAGTGACATTGACACCAGTGACAATTTTCCAAGAGGATCCCGACAATATGCTCACAAAGTCCCTACATTAGGACACTCTTAAGGCCACTTGTTAAATATATGACTGGTTTGTAATTTTCATGAACTCAGATCACACACACACATATATATATATATATTATTTTTTAGTATGGTCCCAAGAAAATAAGAAACTAGGAGAAGGATTGATTTAAGCTCTTATTCTACTTCCCATTTCCTCAAGAAAATAAAACAAACTCAAGAAAAGATTTTCTTTGAAAATATATTCTTTGGATTCTCTTGTTTACAAATCAAATGGAAAATATCAATTTCAATAAGAAAAAAGGTCATCCCTAGCATTGTAGTCCTAGCACGATGCCATTATCAAATTGGTTGAAAAATCAATTCATTGTGAAAAAAAACTTCACCAATAATTTGTTAGGAATTCCAATTTCAGTCATTAATTGCGTAATATTTATCAATTTTAATCAATAATTATCGTCTTAAACAAAAAATATTAACTATTTTTAACAGGAATGATGAATTTTGAAATGAGAAGAGTGGCAAACATGGAACATATCGTCATAGTTGTATGGATTCCCGAGATAAAATGAGAAGAGTGGCAAAGCATATCCGATTCTCTCTCTCTTTCATACATTTTTTGGCTACCACATGTTGTGTGTCAAATCTCCATCTAATCAATTGACATCCAAGAAAAGCGGCCAGAGGTCAAGGAAATAAGAGAGAATCCAGACTCAAACTCAAGCTGCTCTTCATTACACAGAAAGTCTAGAGACTAAAGAGAAGTAAGAATCATCATCATCATGAATCAGTGTGTAGTACCAAATTGGAATCTAAAGCACAAAAGACAGGAACAAGTCGAAGAAGAAGAAGGCAACAGATCTTCTCACGTGCTCAACTCCAGTAATACTCACCTCGTCCCCATGTATGAACTATCATCCTAGCTAGCAACTCTCTCCTCCTCTCTGTTGCCCTTCGTGTTTATTTTCTTCCTTGCTTCTTTCTATGTTCATCTGATAGTACATTTTTTTTCCACTTTTTCATTTCTGTTCATGGAGTTAACTTTAGTTTGGGAGGAATCCCACTTGGTATTCTAAGCCTCACCTGCTGTGTGATTCTCCTTCAACTTTAGTTTATTCCAAAGACTTTTCTTTTCCTTGTTTGAAGTATATCTCAACCAAAAGAAAACAAAGCACAGCTTAAGAGCTATCCTCCATTTGCCCTATAGCCTTTGTGTCAGCTTTATTTTCTTCACTATCTTTTCATTCTCTTTCCAGGTTGAAACACAACTTGTCTTCAGCTACTTTTCAGTATCTTGCTTTTGCACATGTTTTCAACTATGAAACTCCCTCCTTCAAACAGACCCCTTTTTCCTTTTGCCCTGCTTCTCTTTTTCAATGGATTACTTCTTCAAGGAGTTCTTCTCCTTTTTATGCATTATAAGAGCCACATAGCTTTGTTCAAGCTCGTTTTCTTTCTTCAGCAGACTCACCCGTTTTTTTTCTTAATTTGTCCCTATGACATTTATTGACCTCTATCAACCATATTTAGTTTTTTCTCAGTCACTTTGATGGGTTGATTTTGGTGAAAAAAACCGCTAGTTTGTTCAGTTCCCACCTACTCTAATTTCCAATCAGTATTTCATTAATGCTACCAAGAACTATGTAAACAACTTGTAGTTATTTTTCTTATAAGATTTATGTTACAAAAATGGATAATCAGAGGGTTATTCTTTTCTTGCTTTTGTTTCTGAGTTCACTTCCTTAATCATGGAAATGCCTTGTTTCAACCAATTTTTGTACTTGAAATTCAGGTCTAACTATGAAGTTGCGGAGCTAACATGGGAAAATGGCCAGCTAGCCATGCATGGCCTCAGTGGGCTCCTTCCTACTGCGCCCCCGACAAAGCCAACGTGGGGTAGATCCAATGACACCCTAGAGTCCATAGTCCATCAAGCTACCTGCAACAAACAAAAACAAAATTTCAACTTACTTCAGCACGACCAGACCCGGTCAAACAGAAGTTCCATTGCTGCAGCATCCATGGGAAACTGGGCTGAGAGCTCTTCTCGATTGCCAGTGGCAGCAGCAGCTGCACTGTTAAAGAAACGGGCACGGTCGGATTCTGATCAAAGCGGGAAAAATCAAAGTGGCGGTATTCAAGAAGATAGAGCAGACCGCAGTGCATGTGCGAGTGCTAGTGCTGCATTTTGCAGGGACAACGATACAACTATGATGACTTGGGCTTCACATGAATCTCCTCAGAGCATGAAGACCAAAACCGCCGATGAGGACTCTTCTTACCATGATGGATCCGTAAAATACTAGGCATCTTATGGGATAATAAATTTTTCATTAAAAATTTTGATTTATAAAGTAATCTAATATATCCACCCCATATATCGTTTGAGTTAAAGTTATGATTCTTCCCCCACCTGCCAACATAAAAAAGAATGTTGACATGTTACAATTCCTTCTACCTAAAAATTGCTCTTGAGACAATTTTGCACAACTTGTAGGAAAACCGAGATGAAGATATGGAGACCAGAGGTGAAACAGGTCGCTCCCACTCTACAAGACGAAGTAGAGCCGCAGCTACCCATAATCTCTCTGAAAGGGTAAAACAATGCAGTCCCCTGGCCAGAATTACTAGTAAAAAGTCCTGATATTTTTTTTTTTTTCATTTTGCTCGATTATAACAATTGCAATA